TTTATATAAACACATAACGCATATTAACGAAGTCTCCTCTACATGCTTGTATGCGCATGTCTGTAACTCTGTTGCAGCTTTTTAAGTTTCAAAACCAAACAGTCTGGGAAACTGAAATTTGGTAGTCTCAAGTCCTTTATCGCCTAAAGCCTTTACAATATCTTTGAAACTTCACCGGATCTCAAGCCATAACTTTAAGTACACGAACACCAAACACAAGTAAACATATACACATTCGTATAGTTTATGCTCCAGGCATCATTTCTTTTCTGTCTGCAGATGTCCAGGTTAATCTGCCTACTGAACACGGCATGAGATCAAAAACAAGATGCAAGAGAACTGAGATCATTTTAAAGTTCCATGCTCCCATATGGCAAACAACTCGGCAGCCAAACTTTCAGACCGCCTTTTTTTATCCAGAAAAATGTAGAGACGACTGGGTTCCTAAAGGCAAGAACAATTCTGAACAGAACGCAAAATGCACGTTTAAATCTGCATAACAAAAAACATCCGCTGGGCAAAACCACAAAAAAACAATGATCTTTCAGCGCATAAATTGCGAAAAAATCCTACATCCACGGCTTAATATGTTCTAGAGTCATGAAGTTAGCATTTGTGTGCTCAAAGCTGATTTTTGGCCACTTGTGCTATCAAAATTCTGAGTTTGCCATCCGTTCTGACGCGAAAGTTCAGATTTTGCTCAGTTTAGACCTGGCATTACCACTTAGGACCTGCAGCTCAGTTAAGATGTCGAAGAGCCGGTTACTTCCTCGTCATCACTTTGCCAAAAATCTGTTGTGAAGATTTTTAATGTGGACTCAGAGAAACAATAACAACTTTTCTGCAGGCAAAACATCAAAAAATGAATTTCCCTGCACTGAAAATTTAGACAGTCCCGTAAATTGAGAGGTATGACTTGAAGCCACTCACGATTTAAAGCCGTGCATGATTTGAAAAATACGAACAATTTAAATAACAAATAAATTTTACAAAGCAAAGTAAAATGAAATGAGACGGCTTGGTTCAGTCTGGCGACGGCAACAGCATTTCGGGAAGGATGTAACTGCATTCACAGTTCTCGTGATAAGTAACTGCTATTCCGGATATCTAATAGCACTTTTCGCCGTCAAAAAATACTTTTTAAAAAAGCGACAGTCCGTAAGTATTCAAATGCCGTTGCCTTGAAATAAGCTCGTGGATTCGGAAGACCGACACTGACTCATAAATGCAGTTGGAAAATGATATTGCGATGTAATGGCCTAGTATATGTGCACTGTCACAACTTGTTTGATTTCGTTATTATCCTCTGGTCTGCAATTCATTTTAATTGTATTTAAGACAATGAAAATAACAGAAGCAACCGAAAAAGTTAAAAAATTGGAATTTTTAATTTTTAAAGCGCACACGATTTGGAAATTTTAAAGGATGGAGTAAGACAAGTCGCACAATGATCGGTTTATGGATACTTATTGACTGAAATATGTGTGCCTAGCCAAAAAAGGGCTGAGAATGGAAAACAGAAAGAAGTTCGCGCTAAATTTTTTCACTTTTGAATAGTACTTTAATAATTCCATTCTGTGTTTTAGGCACACCTGAACTTCGCGGAAAGGAAAGTAAAGGTTTTGGTGCGAAAATGCTAACTCTGGAGCCAGAAAAGCTGGATTTTTAAAGGAATGCTCCCTGTCTACCTGCAATTTAAAAATTTCAAGTTCAGTCCCCAGGCATGAGTGATTCTCACATACAGGCACGTAAAACTTTTGGCTGGGAAACTGCTAACTTCGGTTTTAGGCAAGCTAAGAAACTCAAATTTTGGGACGCTGTTTTCTGGCCACATGCGATCTGACGAGTTCAAATTCAGCCCTCAGATGTGCGTGGTTTTCAAGTGTGGGCATATGGAATTTTTAGCGGGAAAACTCCTCAGTGGATGGCAAGGTTTTTGTGCGTTTCGCATGTATGCAAACGCAGAAAAGCATGTTGTAGCCATCCATGGTATGTGTGTATGTTTGTGTGTGTATGTGTGTGTGCGCGTGTATGTGTGTGTGCGTTTGTCCGGGTATTTCATCTAGGCAACCAAGAAAGCGCTGAAAATTTGCCAGTAGATTTCCCAGGCAAGTGCTGCCCCACGACCGCGGCACCAACCGTCACGCACGCCTGAGCCCCACGTACGAGTAAGCGAAAATTTTAGCAGGAACTCGAGGACAAAAAAAGCCAGAAATCTGAAATTTTAGGGCGATGTTCCCCGTCCACGCACAGCTTAAAGATTTCAAATCCAGCTCGAGTTGTGCGCGATTCGCACGTACAGGCACATGGAAAATTTGGTGGGAGAATTGGTAACTCGGGACAGTAGAAGCTGGGCGGCTGAAATTTTAAGGGAATGTTCCCCATCCAAGTAGAACTGAACTTTTCGAATTAAGCCTTCAGGCATGCGTGGTATTCGCAGTTTGAAATCTCTAAACTGCACTTAGACAGGGAACATTCTCCTACAACTTCAACTTTCCAACTTTCTGATTCCCAAGTTAGCAATTTTTCTGCCAAAATATTTAGTCTCCGGGTGTGCGTAGTTCTTACATACAATCACTTAAAAGTTTTGGCAAAAAAGCTGCTAACTGAACAGCCTGGCCACTTTCAAAGAACGATCGTTAGACAGAAATTGTTCATTTTCGTTTATGCAAACTTTACAATGTTTTACGCTTGTAGGCGCACGCGGTAAATTTAAAGCAGCAGTCGTTCATACAGATAACGACCTGAATACATCACGTTTAGTGCAAAATCGCGTAGTCGCACCGGCAAGCCTGGTGCTTTCACCCTAAGGTTTTCAATGAACGACCAAAAATTGTCCATTTTTCATTAAAATTTACGGTAATTTATGCTAATAATTACATAAGTTAAATGTAAAACAACAACTATTCATGCACTTGACGACCTGATCGCTTCAAGTTTAGCGTAAAAATGCATAATCGTTCTTTTAAGCCTGATGCGTCGCAGCTTGGGTTGCCCTTAGCACCTCAAAAGACTTCATTTTACTCGTCCTTAGCTTTATCTTAGCTTGATTGTCATAAATAGGGAAATATCTTCCCTTTTTTAATGTCGAAGGCAGATTGGAAGTTTTTTGTGGAATTTTTATGAAATCCAGTCAATCTTACTTATCCTCAGCTTCATCTAAGCATGAGCGTCGTAAATAGGAAAAGCCCTCTACTAGCGGTGGGTTTTGTTATAAAACATTCCGCTCGCTTAATCTCAGGTTTGTTTTCATTTATTATTAATTTACTTTGTGATGTTGTGCTGCCTTTTTCCCACTGCTCTCGTTTCCAGTTCCTCTTTCCGACCCCCTGACCAGTCTCCTCGTTCTCACTCTTTATTTCGTCTCCTGTTCCTGCCTCCAAAGCAACATGTCAGCCTCTTTCCGGCCCCTCTCTTCCCCACTAATCAGCCATCAAATCTACATCATCTAGCACTCGAGAAGCGTTATCCATGACCTGTTCTGGTTATCTTACTAATCCACTGAAGCCACAATCAACTGCATATTGTGCAGACCAGCCAAATTTTAGTAGCTGCCAAATTTAGCGAAATCTTCTTGGCAATGCAAAAAATAAGTGGATGCAGATTTCGATGAAGACTACAACGGCCAATGTTTTCATAAAAGTCAGTTGAACTTCGAGTAGGGAAGGCCAAGAATGAATTGCGTCTCTTTCAATGGTGTATAACACGGGGCACTACTTATTTCAGTGATGTGGCTGGAGAAAGGTAAATGGAGGCTAATAAATTGTAAAAGTGGATGCAAAATTCAGCAAAAAACGTGCAAAATTCAATTGAAGAGGGGACATATTTTAGCCAATGGAACATTGAGATCCGCTGGAAATGTGAAGTTTAGGGGAATAGCCAAAAATACAAAATACTGTATTAAAAAATAAGTGAAATTTAGCGAACGGGTGTAAAGACTAAAAGGGGCGTCATTCTGGAATAGAACCCATCTCTTTCTCCCCGCCCGTCCCTTACTCCCAAGTCAGAGGCAAACAAACATTTTGCACAATAATAAATTGTGACGATTTGTTGAGTTTTAAGTTCTGCTTTGACATTAAATCCGACATTTATATGTAAATCAGTCTTGCGAAATTTAATATACCTGCTGTGTCTGATGTGGCCGTTTGCTTCAGAATTGAAGAATATGTTATTTTCCGTGGCCTTTGTACCGCTACTCGCTCGGTTGCAGTTGACGACTGAGATGTTACACTGTTTCTCTCACTGCTACCGCTAACCCTAGTGCCAACAGTACTACTGCTAATAGTACTACTGCTACTACTACTGCTACTACTACTTCTACTACTACCACTGTTGCTATTACTACTGCTACTACTACTACTACTGCTGCTATCACTACTACCACTACTACTATTATTACTACCAGCAGTACTCCTACTACTACTATTACTACTACTACTATTACTGCTACTATTACTACTGTTATTACTGCTACTACTATTACTACTACTGCTTCTACTACTACTGCTATTACTACTACTACTATTATCGGTGCTACCAGCACCTCTACTGCCACTGCTCCTACTATCAGTCGTGATGGTGCTTGCGCCGGTACTCCCAGTTCGTTTCAAATGTTCTGCTTTGTACCTCTGTCGACCATTTTGCTTTGTTGAAGACAGTTGCCTAACTGTGTTTTCCGCCATAATTATACGATTCTTGTCCGGTGGAAACTGAAATTTATTTAAACACTGAGATTTGGAAGTGCACCCTTTTTGACGCTTGTTTTGACAACAAGAAGCCAGCTTCGAAGGGGTTTTTTAAAGTGGGTTGCTCTGCCTGTAGGTCAGTAAAAATTTTGTCACGGATCAATACACTTTTTTTCTTGAAAGAATGAATGAGAAGTGGACTGTGATTTTATTATCAAAAGACCTTGAAAATCTCTCTTCAATTTGTTTTTTTTTTTCTGCTCAGAACACAATTTAATACATTATCCTCCCGGATCTCTAGGAGATGGAGATGAACTTCATGAAAATATTACACTTACTCTACTGATATAATCAGGATCCCATATCCATAAATAATAAACACTCAGTGATGCTGCTGGTAACGACACAAAAAATATATAACCTATAACTGTGCAAAATCGTATCCACCTGAAAATCTGTTTGTGCTCGACAGTTTCATTGAAAAAATTTTTCTGCACAAGAACGCTCTGACATTCTCCAGCATGCAAAGCGCGAACTTTAGCGCATGCTTTTTGTGACGTAATTCTCTATTCGAGAGCTGTGAGGGTGAACTTATGAAACGAGTGAGTGCTGATAGAAAAAAAGTTTTGAGTTTTCTAGTGATGAGCTCACTTTTAAGAAACAACGCAGAAAACGTATGATATGCAAAAAAAAAAAAAAAAAAAAACAGTGGTGCGCACCAGTGTAGCCTCTGCAACCATACGTTTTACGCAGTTCCGTTCAGCAAACGTTTGTCTGCAAAGGATTCCCTTTACTTCGCACTTTGTCCAGTGCAAAAATAATTAAGATGTTGTCTGGTTCCTAAGCTGCAAAACTTCCCATTAAGAATTTTATGTGCCAGTACATGAAAGCTGAATTTGAAAACATTAACGGTAACATCATCCCAAAATTTCAACCTCCTAATATCTGACTTTCGAGTGATTTTCGCGCCAAAATTTTCACCTGGTCGTAAGTAAGACTCGGCATTTTTGGGGACCAAACTTGAGTTCGAGGCCTTTGCATAGGCAGAAAACATCCTCCTGAAATTTTCAGCCCCACAGCTTTCTAGTTCCTGAGATAATAATTTTCCCGCCAAAACTTTCATGAGGATGTTAAGACCCAGGCGTAAGTGAAAGCAGAATTTGAATTTGCGGGGTCGTACGCAGCTGGCAGACATTATCTGAGTCTCAGATTTCTATTCTTCGCTGTTTCCAAAATAATAATTTTCCCCACCAAAGCTTTCACGGGTTATACGTGGTACCCGCGAACAGGGAAGCGCTGAAATTAAATTTGCGGGGTCACACGTGGGCGAGGAGCAAAATTTTCAGCTTCCTAGCTTTTGTGGTTCCCAAGTTGAAAGTTGCGGAAAAAACACATCAGACACGCACACAGACAACGCCATGACAGTATACGTTTTGCAGCCGTTGCACAGCACAAAACGCGTAAAAAGCACTAAGCTGTTGTGATTACTTTTCTCATCAAAAAGGAGCAGATGCCTAAACTTTTGGTGTCCGAATTTGAGGTTTATCGTAATTGTCAGCCGCATGGAGGCTTCAGCAGTGAATATGTTCGAAGCAGAAGCTTGAAATATACTGCTGTTACCTGTGTATATTCAGACGCGCTTTTTAGCCAAAGATATCACCAGAATATCGCACAAAACCAAACAGCATTTAGTGCAGACGTTCAAAGAAACATAGCCAATAATGCACAGTTGGTTTGAAACATACTTTATTACTTTAATGTAATGATTTCTAGATTTTCTCTCATTTTCGACGGAAAATATGAATAGAATTTGATGCGACAGTGCAAAGCCCGGTCTATAGAAGCCGAAAACGAGAACATTTTCAGTAGAGTAAAAAATGCAATGTAAATTCTCAGAGAACTGACTTTTTGTTTTCCCTCTGCGTAAACTTGGCTCGCTTATCAGATGTATATACCGGCTGTTTTATCCTTAACCGAGCTGATCCAAATGTCGAATTGTTCATCATTGTGAATACAACGCAACACAATACGGCAAACAACAAATAATTTGGCCCAGCAACCACCTACAACACCTGCAAGTAATAAATATTTTGAATCAGCACTACCAGTGAATCATTTACTGCTTGTGAAGAACCGATAAAAGAATTCGATCTTTATCGATATAAAGACACAAATGCCAAATTCAAATTTCGCCATAAAGCATTTTGTTTTTGCATGACGAAGATTACCATGATCGTACCCGACAACCGATTTATTCATCCGACATTAATGACGCTACAGCTTTACACATTCGTCAGGCGTACTAAGTTGTATCTTCGAGCCTAGGCAGTAGAATTCTGTTAGTAATTACTGCTTATTAAATGAATGCACGCCATTTCTTCGAAGCCGTCTGTGTGATTATCACTTTTTATGCGTTTTTGCTGTGTAGCGCTATAGCGCCGCTACAGTCAGCAAAAATGCATATTGTCGAGAGGTTGTTTGTGTGTATTTTTTCAAAAGCGAGTGAATTTTGTCAACCACTTTGATCTCAGCAACCAGGAGAGCTGGAAGGCTGAAATTTAGGGTATATGTTTCTACCTCGCTTGTCACTCTCCCGTTTTAAGATCCTCCACACGCACCTAGACCCCAGAAAAAATATGCATATTTCTTCGGCGGGAAACGATTTTGCGAACCAGGCAAGGTACAAAGCCGAAACTTTTCAGGAATATTTTTTGTGCATTCGCGAGCTAAAGATTTTAAATTGATTTATCGTGCGTGATTGTACAGCGCGTACATCACGTCAAAGTTTGCAACTTGGTACTGTGCTAATTCGAAAACTTGCTGGAAAACAGTGGCTGAAATTTTGTCGGCATGTTTGTCGCCCATATGGGATATCGTATACGACTTAGGGCACTTCAAAGATATGGATATTTTGCTTACTGGATAAGTTGCCATTAAATACAGGTACTGGGCGTACGTGGTCCTTACGTACGGCCTCGTGAAATTTTTTGGCGAGAAGAATTGCTAACTCGGGAACCAGGAAAGCTGGGAGGCTGAAATTTTAAAGAGATGTTTCCAGCCCACGCACGACTTAAAGATTTTAAACCTAGCCCCTAGGTATGCCTTCAGTTTACGTATGGCCCCGTGAAAGTTTTGTCGGAAAAACTGCTAATTCGGGAACCAGAAAAGCTGGAAAACTGAGATTTTAGAAGAATATTTCCTGTCCAAATACAACTTAAAGATTTCAAACTCAGCTTTCAGGTACGCGTGGTTCTCATGTACGGGCGTTTAAACTTTTAGCAGGGAAATTGCTTGTTGAACAGCTGGGTCATTTTCAAAAAACGACAGCTAAGCGGAAATTGTTTGTTTTCGTTTATGCAAAATTTACAATGATTTACGGCTTTGAACGTGCAAGGTAGGTGTGAAACAACAACTATTCATGCAGCTAATCTAATTACTTTAAGCTTAGTGCAAAAACGCATGACCGCACCGGCTCGCCTGGTGCATTTCAGCCTGGGTTTATTTTTCGAATTAGAAGTTTCCAGCCAGAACTTTTACATGTCCGTAAGTGAGACCCAGACGTGCATGAAAGTAAATATTATCTTTCTCAGATAGCACTTTGCCGGGGAATCCACTGGCTAAATTCTAGCATAAAAACTTACTTGGTTGCTGACTTAAAATACACGGGTACACACATACATATGCGCACACAAGTACATATAAACGTGCTAACATATACACACCACGGGTCGTCACAATATGCATTTTTGCATTTGCATAATTATACAAATGTGCACTAAAACCCAGGCTGGAACGCACCGGGCGGGCCCGTGCGATCATGCGTTTTTGCACAGGACTTGA